TATATATATATATATATATATATAGATAGATAGATAGATAGGTAGGTAGAAAGATACATACATACATACATATATATAATTTTGTGTTTGGGTCAATTTTTGCTCAGATTTTAATTGTCAGCACCTTTCTCCTTCACTACGATTGTATCCGACAGGTGATGCTCCGTTTATATACTGCTCTAAGGTGGTGATTATTTCTTGTCTTCTTCCCATTTCTTGTTGTCAACGGCATGTTGTTGCACCCCTCCCAACAGCTGTTGTGTGTTGTCGAACCTTCCAACAGTCCAACTGTATGTTGTCCAACTGCAGGACCATCGTCCTCTCACTACCCTAGGCCTCCCTATCACCTACAACTCTTCGTTTCCACTATCTCGACATCCAACCCACCTCATTTGAACCTCTTTGTGTCATTTTCCTATTTTCAATTATCTTTGGATGCAATCACCTTTGAATTTCGGCAATAATCTTTTTGTTATGGTTTGGGTAACTCTGATATCATATGGTATCAGAGCTAGCCTAACCCTAGTTTTGTCCTAGGATTTCTAACATTCCTACACATTTCCAGCCCAATTTTATGTCTTTCCGATCCTCAAATACCCTCTTCCACTCCCATAAATTCAAATTCTAACCACACCACCAAGAGGACAAATGTCGGAACCACCCATGAAGAGATACGAGTAATTCGTCGACTTCGACAGATGCTTGCGAAAATTAATGATGGGACCAAGGGGGAAATCACCCCCGCTTGTGATATAGAAAGTTGAAGAGGAGAAATAGACAAGAATTTGAACCCCTTCCATAGAGAGGACTACGGTGATGAGGAAGGCAAACCACGATACTTCAAAATTAATTGTCAGAGATTGAGAGAGGAGGCGACATATGGAGAACAGACACGACGGAGTAAAAGTGGATCTACCAGAATTTAACTAAGAGATGGATCCCAAGGATATCGTCAAATGGCTACAGGAGGTACCAAAAAACAAAAGGGGAAAGCTCGCAGCCATCAAATTAGAAAAGATTGCTTCCTTCTGGTGGAAAAACTTGCGAAAACAAATGAAAAAAAGTGACAAGATGACAAGATGGGAGAAGATGAGAAAGGAGACGTAGGGAAAAATATACCTCCTCACTATGGTCAAGATATATTTTCTGAGACTCCATGACCTACAGCAAAGGGACCTACAAGTGGACGATTTCACGGCACAGTTTGAGCAGATTCGGATGAAATGTGAATTGGTCAAGCCAGAGGAACATACTATAGTCCAATATCTAAGAGACTTGAAGTCAACTATCAACAGCATCATGAAACTGCGACCTTGTTGATCACTGAGAGATGTCCATGCTTTAGCCTTGAAGGTGAAGAGAGACAAGACAAAGCAAACAACTATCCTCATTTAGACAACCACCTACAGCTTCAGCTACCAACAAGGGTACATTTGGAGAAGTTGGGAAGACAGAAAAAAAAGTGACAAGGAAAATCTCAGTGGAAAGATAGCAAAAAGAGTAATTCGCCTAGTATGGTGCCTGTAAGAAGATGTTTTAGGTGAGACGGCTAAGACAAAAAACCTCCAACTGTCCCACGAGTTGAGTTCTTTCATTCACTGAGCAAGGTGTCGTCAAAGTGAGTAAGGAAGCAAAGGAGGGACAACAGGAGAAACTTCAACTACAGGGAGATGAGAAAGAAATGCTAGTCGTAGAAGGGTTCTACAGATTGAGCCGGAAAGGGATCATTCGTGGCTAAGGCATAGAATTTTCCATACCAAGTGTACTGTGAAAGTAAAGGACTGCAGCCCGAGCTGTGAATATATAGTATTCACTCTGATGGCAAAGAAATTAGAGTTGCCCTCACAGAAGCATCCTCAATCCTACTCCCTTACCTGGTTGAAAAGGGGATACACGTGAATCAACACTGCTTGGTTGTGTTTATATTCGAGATCAACTATAGAAGTACGTGTGGTACGACGTGGTACCTAAAGATGCCTACCATGTTTGTTGGGAAAGTCGTGGCAATTCAACTGCAAGGCCCCACACGACGGGCTCAATAACACTTATTCATTCAAGAAGGATGGAAGGCCCTTAGTTATTTTGCCCGTCAAGGACGCGAGAGGAGTAGGCATCACATAGGAGACGATAGTCCCACGAGCCACCCTTATCCAGTCAATACGATAGGCTTCAGTGGCAATGGCTTTAAAAATGCTAGAGGGAACTGAGGAGAAGGTTGAG